GAGCAAATAAAATTCAGCATGAAATTGGCAGTTGGAAAGGGACTTGATGAAAACTGCCCTATTTTCTTAAGTGCTTTGAAAGGGCACTGCAAAGCAGATATTCTCTCAAGTAAATTTATTCAGAAAGCACATTTACCACTCAAGTACCCATCAGTGTCTTTTAAAACAGCTGAGCAAATGTGAATACTTTAAATATTCTCGCTCTCCTCCATAATGGTTATTTCACATACACATCCTACTGAAAAAACACAAATATGCGGCATTATCAAATGCTGGTTTATTTTCACTTTCTTTTCCCTAAATTGCCCAGTAATCTGACAAAATTCAAACAAATTGCAGTATTTCATAATCTGGAACTGAATGAGTTTCCCTAGCTATTCCAGGTTAGACAAAATGGTCAAATTATTATTGCATTCCCGAGACTGAGCGAAAGGCTGAGAGTCAAAGGGGAAGAGGCAGAGGGTTAAAACTCCCGTGATCCCAGCAGTGCTCCCACCTCTGCGGCCAACGTCCACACTGCTGACATTTCATCGGCGCGCACTGCCCAGGCCAAACTCCCCCTGCTCATTCCCGCTCTCCCGAAAGGCTCGGGGACACCCAGCGTCGCAGACGCGACGAGCTCGGGTGGCTCAGGCCCGCGGCGCTCGGAGGCCGGATCGCCAAGCGAACACCCCCTTCCTGGGGCGGGGAGCTGGGAGGTCTCCACAGACCGCAGAGCTCCACAGGGAAAGAGCCTTCCCAGCGTTTCCCAAGGGCAGGCAGCTACCCAACTGCGAGTGCCTTGACTGGAAGTTCAGGAGAGCACAGGCAGCATCCCTGAACTCCTTTTACTATTCCGATTGTTGCCTCCACCCCTGCGTTCCTTTACGAAGCTACACCTTACTCCTCTGGAGAAAGACTGACACGTGCAGTGATCGTCTCTTCTGATCCCACCCAGGCCAACCCCCCTATCTGGTTTCTTACCCAGGCTGATCTTACCCCCTCGCCGTGCAGTTCAGAAAGCAAATGGACCAGTCGGGGGGGTGCAAGAGTTTTTTTTTTTATTTAAGGGTGAAGTGAAAATCATTTTACCACTGTTCGTGAACAAGTACTGTGCCCTCCTATTTGTGATGTCTATAGGTCTTGCCCTTATCTAAGTGGCCTACACAGTGTACATCCTTGCGATTCCTTCAATAAAATGTGCTTAAAATGACTTTTCCTTAAAATAAAATAAAAACCAAAACAAAAAAAAAGGCAATAACAAGTGAAGGCTAAACTCTTCATAGTTTAAAAGAAATGAATACAGCCTATATACAATATCTCAGAGGCTACTTAAAATCCACCTTAATAAAGATCTTCATCGTTTATCAAGGACCTGTGACCTTAATAGTATTTGTGGATACTTTTCATTTGTTTTTATAAAGAAATCAAAAATTAACCCAACCTGGAATAGTCTTGTGTTACAATCGTGTCCAACATTTTTTATATGCAAATTAAATGTATTCTGTATTTTTTCTTTTCCCCATCAATAAAACAATATTAGCTGGTGATCAAACAGCCACGTATTCTTCTGTTAATATCACAGGTATGAAAAGATTAAATCAGTGAAGGAAAACAATTGCATCTAATCTCAGAAACGGTGAGAAAACATCTGCAAAAATCTTTCCCCCTCCCCTTCTGTCCACTCTCCTTCTCATAACTCAACCTCATTCATTCCTTTTTTATATATATATTTATATAGCTTTTATAAGAAAATCTGTCTTTTAAAGTTGTAATAGGAAAAAAAATCAGACGACAATCCTCTATTAAGTTCGTTCGGTTTCCTCTGCG